ACTCAAGATTGGGATAATGTCTCTACCCCCGTCAAAAGCACCATTGGTCGCAAGTAGGGGCGGAGCAAATTTTTTTTTTTAGTNGAGTTTTCTGCCTTACATAAGACTCAAGATTGGGATAATGTCTCTACCCCCGTCAAACACACCATTGGTCGCAAGTAGGGGCGGAGCAAATTTTTTTTTTTAGGGTGGACATATTAGTAAGTTTTAATTTTTTTCAATAGAACGTAAAAGTTCATAAATTTATATTTATTAAAATTATATTTAATACTTTTTAAGCATAGAAGATTAAAAATTGATATACTCATAAGCAAAAAAATAATAATTAAAACTTTTTATCGAGAATGCGGCTAATTACTATTACTTACAATTGACCCTTGTATGTTTTTATTATTTGAAAGAGTCACAATTAATTTTATCAACAATATTTTTTTTATATATAAAATCGCGGTAACAATCTTTCATTTATGATCCTATATTTTACTACATAACGACACACATTTTTATACAATAACGAAATAACCCTACAATTTAAAAAAATTATAAAAAAACATCAATATGTTCAAAACATATTTAGACATGTCTAAAAGTTAATAATTATATTAGTTGTACCTAATTTAAGATTTAATTGATGGAGACCTAATGATTTGTGACCATTGGATAGATAGTAAAGTTTATTAAATATTAAGATTCACTATTATACTTAATATCGCAATGTATTAGATCCTTAAATTAAGTTTCAATAACATTGTTCAAAAAGTTAACAATTATTTAGGTATGAGTCTATTCAAATCAATATCATCAAAACACAATATTAGAATGAGCACAATTAAATATGTATAAATCTTATTTCAAATAATACATACTTAATATTAAGTAAAAAAAAATTTGAGGGGGGCATGTGCCCACCCTAGCCCATGGGTGTCTCCGCCCCTGGTTGCAAGTGAGTTTATAAAATTAAAACTAAATCAGATGATTCTATGGAAAAGTACAAGGCCCGGTTAGTGGCAAAGGAATTTGCTCAAGAGTATAGCCTCAATTATAATGAGACCTTTGCTCCTATTGCTAAGATAATCACTGTTCGCACTACGATTGCAGTAGCTAATATTCGTTAATGGAATTTGTCTCAGATAGATGTTAAAAATGTGTTTCTTCATAGAGTTTGTCTAAAGAAATTTTTATGACTCATCCTCCTGAATTGTCTCATAGTCTCGGACTTGTATGCAAACTTTGCAAGGCTCTATATGGTCGTAAACAGGCACCACGGGCATTGTTTACTAAGTTTTTTTCAATCATACGTGACTTGGGTTTCAGTCTAGTGGTCATGATTATGTTCTCTTTCTACGATCTACTTCTACAGGTGCTATTGTTCTTACTTTATGTTAATGATATGATACTTACACGTGATGACACCACTGGTATACTGTTGTTGCAAAACTAGTTACCAGATCATTTTGAGATGAAAGATTTAAGTTAACTTCAGTATTTCTTAGGGATTGAGGTTGCTTCCTCTTCCAAAGGTTATCTTTTCTCCCGATCTAAGTATGCATCAGATGTTATTCAGCGAGCCTACTTGTCAGATAATTGGATAGTTGAGACACCTTTAGAATTCAATGTTCAATACTCTTCCTCTGATGACACTCACCTTCCTAATCCTAACACCCTTTATCCTTTATTGTACTATTGTTGGCAGTCTGATATATCTTACAATCACTCGTCCATATGCAATTCATGTCATCAGTCAATTTTTTGTTTCTCCTAGTATTGTTCACCGGGTTGCTGTCCTTCGCATTCTGCAGTATCTTTGGAACATGCTGCACCAGAGTTCATTATTTTCTTCCTCCACACCTATAGATCTCAGGGCTTATTTTAATGCTGATTGAGTTGGTGACTCAATAGATCATGAATCCACCATTAGTTTCTATCTCTTGTCTGGAGATTCTATTATTTCTTAAAAAAGCGAGAAGCAAACAGTTGTTACTCATTCTTCTGTTGAAGCCTGAGTATTGTGCTATGACCTCTACTATAGCTGAGATAGTCTAGTTACATTAGTTGCTTGTTGATCTTGGCATCTCCCTATCTACTCCTATACCTATATATTGTGACAACATCAGTGCTATTCAGATAGTTCNTTGGTGACTCAATAGATCATGAATCCACCATTAGTTTCTATCTCTTGTCTGGAGATTCTATTATTTCTTAAAAAAGCGAGAAGCAAACAGTTGTTACTCATTCTTCTGTTGAAGCCTGAGTATTGTGCTATGACCTCTACTATAGCTGAGATAGTCTAGTTACATTAGTTGCTTGTTGATCTTGACATCTCCCTATCTACTCCTATACCTATATATTGTGACAACATCAGTGCTATTCAGATAGTTCACAACTCAGTGTTTCATATGCGTACAAAGCATATTGAGATTGATTATCACTTTATGCGTCATCATCTTCAGCTATACACTATCTTTCTCCCCTTTCTTCCTTCCACTATGCATTTGGTGGATTTCTTTACCAATTCTCACACAATCACGCATTTTATGTTTTTTTCTTGGCAAACTTTTGATATTCTGGTACCACTTCACGAGTTTGAGGAGTGATGTTAGAATATATTTGGCAGTTTAGCGTTAAGGGTAGTTTAATGTAGGTTGTAAAAATGCCAATTATGTAATAAGATACTTCTCTTTTCTCTTCTTTATTGGATCAAAGTTAACACATTCAAGTTCTGACAAGTATGATGCAAGCCACATATCTCGCTCCAACAAAGAGAAGACGAAANGTTTTTTTCTTGGCAAACTTTTGATATTCTGGTACCACTTCACGAGTTTGAGGAGTGATGTTAGAATATATTTGGCAGTTTAGCGTTAAGGGTAGTTTAATGTAGGTTGTAAAAATGCCAATTATGTAATAAGATACTTCTCTTTTCTCTTCTCTATTGGATCAAAGTTAACACATTCAAGTTCTGACAAGTATGATGCAAGCCACATATCTCGCTCCAACAAAAAGAAGACGAATATAAAATCAAAACACAAATCAACATAATGCATAGATATAGAAAGAAAAATATTTGCAGCATGGCATGTAGTTATAATGAGTATTCCATTTAACACCGGGAGACAATGGCTTATCCACACGAGTTTTTAACATTGGTATCTAGAGTTCAGGTCAAGCATGATTCTCTCTCTAGTTGGCCCTGAGGTTACAACTCACCATTTGTTACTTTTTTAACATGCCATATCACAATGGTACATAAACAACATACATTTCTCTCTCCCTCCATTTGTGAATATATAATATTTGTGGGTATGCAATTAAATCACTGACTTTTCTATCTGCTTTCATTAATGCATGTCTTTATTTATAGCTTAATTATCCATAGATCAATTACTTTACCTATTCAAATTTCATCTCCATCTCGTTATGGTAACACATCAAAATCCATCTCTAATCAAGAGTTTACAAGTTACTCTCTCCTTTTACCTTTCTAAATTCAATTTCTAATTTCATGTATCCATTTGGTCGATGATGAAGAGTTACGTCACTGTTTCTCTTAATCTTTCATTGTTTTGCCTTATCTTCGAAATTTAAAAGACCTAGTATCATTTCAAACTTCGTTTGTGTGATCCACATTGTTTATATCTTTTTTCTTTACATTATTAGATCATCGGCAATCAGTTAAGGCCTATTATATTATCTTTCATCATTTTAAATAAAGACACTATCAACAACATATTCAAAGGATACCCTAGGGATTTTCTGAAATATTAAGTGATTCTGTAGTTCACATATTCATTTTATATAGTAGCCGTCCTTCCAAACTCTCCTTCAATTTCAAGAACGCTAATCTTATTGAACCGAGTTATATGATGACAATATCAGCGATATCATCATTGACACAGTCAACAGTTATGATGTAATTGATGATTCATTTGTCTACATGGTTGGTTGACACTAACATGGGGCGTATGGTGTAACCAGCGACGTCAGATTTGGATGTATAATGAGAATGGAGAATGTGTTTGAAGGAGAGGGATTGGGATCAAGTGCAAAGGAGACAAATGGTGAAATTAAGCACTTGGTAGAGTGAGTTTAGGCTATGAAGCTGTTAACTTCAGTGGGTTCTGTTGTGAGCTTGACTTCGCATACGGCGGGTTATGACAGTAGGCCAGTGTTGTTAATGTTCGAGAGAGAGAGAGAGAGAGAGAGAGAGAGAGAGAGAGAGAGAGAGAGAGAGAGAGAGAGAGAGAGAGAGATGGAATGGAATGGATACCTAAAATAGATGAAAAAATAAATGGAAGGATGAAGGTAAAAATGTAAGGGTAATTTTCATTACGTTCATAACTCAGCTAACACTGAAAGTGTATTTTTAGAAAACCAGAGGACATTCTTAAATTACATAAATCTTTAAGGGGTGTCATTGATATTTACCCTTTTGATTATTAAAGCATCTCCAACCCTCACCCTTTTTTGTACCCAAATTTAAATTTGGATAAAAATGGTATAAAATGCTTCCCTAATGCTACCAAATGAAGGGAAACCTTTTTTTAAACCCAAATCAAGGGAGACCATTTTTTATTTGATTGTGAGATTATACCCTCCTTTAAAGATCCAATGGTTATATTTTACCCTCTTTTAAATTTGAGTTTCTCTTCATTTAAATTTGGGTTTCTTCATCAGAAAGGTCTATACCAAATCAAATTTTTTATCCTTTTTTTTTACCCAAATTTGGGTAAGGATTTGAGTTTCTATTGGAGATGGTCTTATAGACTGAAATCAGTTTTAGGATGAGGAGAAAGGAAAGGGATGAGAAACATAATAAATTATAAACCAAACGGCATGCCTTTCACAAAAAAAATGCAGAATTGTGTACCTGATTAAAGATGCCTAACAAAGTCTCATCTGTATGCCTCAGTCATCCTGGCAGTTTTTTTTTTTTTTTTGGGGGGGGACTCTTTTTATGCTGTGGTTCATTCCAGAACACATATAGTAATACATCATGATGATATTTAATTTAAGACTGTTAAGAGCTCCAAACTTACTGAGATAAAATCAAATGCTTTAGTCTCCTCTTTCCTCGAACTGTTCATCATTGAAGCGGGAGTTTGAGTTGTAACACTGGGGTTGAATATATCAGGAAGGGCTGAAGAATATTCCCCTCCTTTATTTAGAGCAGCATGATTGACACCAGCACTTTGCGAGTGCAGGCTCCCCAGCAGCTGAAAGTTGGATGTTGTTGCTAGGAATTGCTGCTGGGCCAAAAGACTCCCCATGACATTATAATTCATTGGCTGAGAAGAAAATGCTGGACTGAACATGAAGCCAGAAGGCAAATTATAAGCCATGGGACCCAAAGGAAACATAGGATTTGCATTCATCCCAACTGATTGAGAACAAGCCATGTCGTTCAACACCCCATTAGAAACCTGTGGACTGAGATTTGCAGTGGAATCTGAGAATATATTTTCAGAAAATGTTCCAGCAAAGTTCCCGTTTTGTTGTGGAAACTCGGAACTGGAACCAAAAATATCCAAAATTTCAGGTCCATTTTTATCTGCTGCAATATGGACTCCAGTAGCTCCTGGTTTATCAATAGTCATTCCTGAAAAGAGATCAGCAACATGTTCTGTACCATTGTTGTTATGAAATGAGACGTCTGCAAAGGGGTCATCGTCATTTTTCTGTTCACTGGTGCTCACACCATTGTGCAAACTATCTCCAAATAGATCATCAATACTAGGGATTGTTGATGACGATGTCGGATTGACATTGCTTTGATCACTTTGCATTTTCACAGAATATTCTGTTCCACATAGATCATTTGCATCGCCTGTGTCTATCAAATCTGGCATCTGAAAGGTAGTTGTCTCAGCCTTCTCTGGCTCCCCTAGATGAACCACTCCACCACTAGTTCGTTCTCCACCCAGAAGGCTTAAAACCTGTCCATCAAACCCATACATTTATTTCACCTATAAAAAGTAGCCCATGTTCTGAAAGAAGCAGACTACAAAGCCTAAATAAAATCCATTGTAAATCAAGAAATACACATGATTATCTTTATGGTTTTTTTTTCTTAACATTCTGTGAGGTTTCGGATTTCATACTGGCAATATCAAGACTTCTATCAGTGCTTGGACATGATGCGTAGCATAAAACATCTGTTAGACAGAAAATACAAGCCTCAGAATTTGAAAACTTTACTTCGACGACAAAATGACAAGGAAGAGCTGTCAAGGCAAGACAAGGCAGACTTCAACAGCTGGAAGACTTTAAGCTCCAGGCAAAATGGTTTAGATAGGTTAGGTGGCNTACAAGCCTCAGAATTTGAAAACTTTACTTCGACGACAAAATGACAAGGAAGAGCTGCCAAGGCAAGACAAGGCAGACTTCAACAGCTGGAAGACTTTAAGCTCCTGGCAAAATGGTTTAGATAGGTTAGGTGGGCATCTTTTGGATGCGGCTGGACATGCAGTACCAAAACTGAAGAACATGAATTGGTCTAGTCGACTAACGAGCAATTTATAACTCTCAATTTCATCTTTTCAGATGAAATCTTAGTAGTTTAGAGTACCAATGCTCCCATACACAGCCTAAAACACATTTTGAAAAGATGAATGATTTCTAAGCATCCATGCCCTTCTATTCATGAAACAAATGTTTCAGTTGCTCTTGTGCTTGCTTGCTCTATACTTTGACAAGCATGAAATAAATGTATGAGTTTCCTCAAGTATGAGTTATTTTCATAAGCATTGTATCATGACTTAACAAAGAAAGATCTGCCTGGATGCATGTTCTTGAGTGCAGTTTCAATTACAGTTGATTTGGCTTTTTTTTTTTTGGTGTGGAGGAGGAGGGAGGAGGGAGGAGGGAGGAGGGAGGAATTTGATTTGGCTTTTCTGGAGCACATGGATAATAATGATTAAATATTGTTCTAGTTAGTTGAAGTAAAATAAAACATGAATTTGGAAGTAATCATGACAATCTGGGAATTCTGCAGAGAGCCAGTCAACTAGGCCAGACACTAATCGACCATCATACTACAATTTTTGAAAATCAGCACCAAGGACTCACACAAATCTATCTCGGGTTTGAACCAAGTTGCTGACACTTTGATAACATTTGGAATTAAGAGAACGTGGGCAATTCTAAGCAAAAACACTGAAATATTCTTGACTGAATTACAAATGCAGAAAATAGGAAATGGGACAAATGGTTAAGAAAAATTAAGTATTCCTATTTACATCCCCTTCTAGGACTTCCACATGGATCAAAGTATGAGTGGCCTTATGGTTTAACATCCAAGGCATTATCCTTATCCTTATATAGTCTTGTTTGTAGGGGGAAAATGTCAAGAGATCACTCTTACAACCTATTCCTCTGATCTTAGCATCAGCAACTCGCCTTATGAGGACAGGGACTTCCTTGGATCAAGAACAGACACTGCACTGCTATTTGCTCCATCAAAAAATCACTGCTGAAAATAGTGAAATTTTTGGTGACCTAAATATGATGTTACTAGATTTACTAGCAACCCGATAGGATCATAGCCTCACCAATACTGGCGTTCTCCTATCTCAATAGTGCTAATGATGTCATTATTCACGTTGACTCATCCCATAGTCTTGATTATGGGCATACAATGCTATTTAAAGGACTTCCGGTCAGCCAGCTAAATATCCATGATGAGCTGATATGTGACCTTCTGTATAACGATCTTGCATGATCTGCATATCTATACTTCCAAAAGAATGAGAACCATAAGCGATTCTGTGGATTCCCTGGTGAACTGAATTAGGCAGTTATAGATAGAAAATGCCGAACTCAAGATGAATAATACCAGACTTGGTCCAAGTTTGGTGAGAATTTCTCTCTAGGAAGCAAAAGGCTCTAAATCTCCCAGGCCAGTACACAATTCCTAGTGATAAGAGTGGCTTAGGATAGAACCAACACTCAAGTACTACTACTATGACCTTCAAAAAAGATATCGCTGAATCCCGACCATCTACCCAGGGCACCCAAGGGCTTATAATTAGTGGGCAAAGGAGGGATAAGTCCATTTTGACTGCCCATAGAAGGAAAAACGGGACCTTAAACTTTGTAGCCCAGTCTAAGACACAGAAATGAGCCCTTCCAAGTTGTTACAAAAGGGATACCAATGCACTGAAAAGGCCCAAGCAACTTGATCTGATTAGTCACCAAGAGACATCAGTATCATATCCTGCATTGGCAACGACATTTAGATCAAATGACCAATCACAAGTTTTTCGAGATATTGAAACAAAACATCACCCCATTAGGATTTAGAGAAAGCTCGAGGCATAAATTTGCAGGAAGTATGACCTACCATGAAATATGGATATTTCATTTAGTTGGACGTATCTAGATAGGATACCGTATCCAATCCAAGGATCAAAGTATCGGCCGAGTCGTATCAAACTCGGCCCCTACTGAACCGATATTGGTATCTAATACGCATAAATCATGAGTTTAGGTCAACTTGGCGAGACGACTCAGGCACAAATCAGCTGAATCAGTAAAATTCGGAGTTAAATCGGTCTAACTCAGACCAACTCATGACCGACTCGGACGAATCACAGATCAGTGACCCATGAGCCAAGAAAAGCAAAAAAAGGGCAAGAAATAGAAGATGATGTTAAAACCCACATGAATATTGATCAAATCTCTCACAAACGAAGCAATTATACATAAGAAGAAGAGAAATTGAAAGGAAGAAGAAGAATAATCGGAGNTCACAGATCAGTGACCCATGAGCCAAGAAAAGCAAAAAAAGGGCAAGAAATAGAAGACGATGTTAAAACCCACATGAATATTGATCAAATCTCTCATAAACGAAGCAATTATACATAAGAAGAACAGAAATTGAAAGGAAGAAGAAGAATAATCGGAGGGCATATAGATAAACGAAGCCACCTTCTCCATCTTTCTCTTCGTCTCTTTCTTCTTCTTCTTTTACACAATCATTGGATGTCAGCTCCAATTGTACAAAGTCGAGACACTGGTTCTCTCTCTTTGTATACAAAACCCTATAGAATAGTCGAATGACTCTTTCTTCATTGAGAGTCTGAGACCAACACACCAAGACATGCTAGTCCTTTTTATAGTCTTTAAAACACTGACCCAAAAAAAAAGTTCTTTTAACAATTAACACTTAATAAAAAAACGTCTTTAACAATACCAACTATATCTACTTACTAGGAAAAAATAAAAACTATATCTACTTATGACTTAATTGGTTGTTATATTTAAACTTTAATTTATGCATCAAAAAGTTAAATTTATATATTTATATGCAGCATTTATTGTTTGTTTTTGTATTTGTCAATTTTCAATAGCATCTAACATTTCAATTCCATCATGTATAATATGCTAAATTATGTATTTTGGTCATACAATGCATGAATTTTGTTATTTGTATAGTCTTAGAATTTTTCATAATTTTTTTGGAATTTTTTGAACCACTTATCTAGTATTTCTTGCGTATTGGCCGATACACCGCGATCAATGTGTCTCAATGCCCTCCGAGTCAATAACCGATACCGTAATATTGAACTATAATCTAATCCAATACTCGTCTTATACTAGAAATGTGTATTGGATGCGCACCATATGTACTCAATAATGAATAAAATCTCTCAAATATGGACAGATGAATATACTGTAGATACGAAAATGAATAAGGGAAGCGAATTCTAATCTTTATCATTTTCTCTCAAATCACGTGCAGTGATACAGAAAATTATGACTTTCAAGATACATGAGTGATTCTTAAGTATTCTCTGCCACCACATGTCAAAGGTATGTAGTTTTCTCTTAGAGAGATGGTGGTCTAGGAATTTTGGGTAAGCCCCTAGATACGGGGATGAAAGCATCATCTAGTGATTCATCTTCCCATGGCTTTACACAAAAGTCAACTCATTAGACTTCTAAAGAGCGAAGAGTTCAAAAAATAAGCGCCTCAAAGGTGTGTGGCATGAGAGTACCATATGTGATGACAGGTTCCTTGCTCTTGTTCTTTTGATTTGCTTAGGGTCTTTACTTATATAATTAATGCCTTGTTGAATATCTGTTCTTCTCTTTTATCCTTACTAATATTAGACAAAAGAATTGCATAGTGATGAACTCAATTTTTTAATTTTTTTTAAAAAAAGAAAGAAATCCCAGCTAAAAAAAGGAATCAAATACATAACTGCTTAAAGGCACTTACCTTGTTTGCTTTCTCCCGCAAAGAAGATTGAGGAGATTCAGAACATGCAACCACAGCATCTTTGTTTTCACCAAAATAAGATGCTACAATAGAAAAATGCTCATCATCTGATTTCCTCAAAATTGCCTCAAGTATGCAGACAGATTTGATGCGGACCTGAGAATTTGCAGTAGAAAAAAAAATTGCTATGTTTATTGACCATCTGGTAAAGACTGCATCATAACCATAAAAACAGCCCACAAATCTTCTTTTGAAGAGACGAAAGGAGGGAAATATCTAATACCGAACACAAAACTTAACCATCACAAACAAAATTTTCAATCAGATGAACAAGTATCGGTGCAAAGTTGATTGTATTTATACATGTTTTCAAAACGGTACTGAAGCATAAAAACCATACCTGCCACAAAGGTGATTGAAGCTTTGATTCAAGGGCATGACTTAGAACCAATGCATCCAACTTTGAGGCCTCCCGAAGAAACACATGAAGGGCATCCCGAGTGGGTTGTAAACGGACACCACCAGATGTTACTATCGTCTCCAGTAACCTCTCTTCACGAGTCTTACTCTCCCCATAACTTGAGCCAGAGTCCCCATTGCTCATTTCTATCTGGTTCGTTCTCAAATCCTGCCCCCAACTCCCACCAGTCGCATTGACTGAGAACTGAGAAGTGTTCAGAGCTTTACTGCGATGTCCAACCCCTTCATATTCATCCGAGTCAATAGTTTCTCCAGTCAAAGACCTTCGAAGAGTTGGTCTCTTGTAACTTCCAGTGTCATTATTTTTAATGGACCGGCCTTCTGCTAAACTACTCAATCCCTGTTTTATTGTAGCACTACCAAGACCAACCACCTCACTAAGAAATGACTTCTTGTCGTCCGACGACATTTCAAAGTTGGTATTACCAAACCCTTGGATCCGACTACCAAGTGTTTTTGAAGGTGCTGGTTTATCCTCATCAGCAGAAAATATAGATGACAAAGCCTCCTGGGCCATTTCCCGCACAGCCTTATTTGGTGCATCACCCTTCAAAGGATCTGCCTGGCCCTTGTAGTGAATTAATTGGCGTATAGCTACTGAATTCCTTTGCATTTCCCGTCTGAATTCTGCACCGGATTTCAACACTGCATACTTGATCAATCTCAAAGCCTACAAAAATTTTAAAATGTTAAGCACCTGAATTCCCGTAATTTTTTGCATTGCAGAGTTGCAAATATTTGATTGTTTTCTTGATAAACTCAGCTCTTATATGTCTAGTACTGGGAAAAGAAAAAACAAAATCACCAAACCATGAACCCTTGGCAGCTGGGATAATACATCCACATTAAAAAACATTACATTAAGGNTATTTGATTGTTTTCTTGATAAACTCAGCTCTTATATGTCTAGTACTGGGAAAAGAAAAAACAAAATCACCAAAACATGAACCCTTGGCAGCTGGGATAATACATCCACATTAAAAAACATTACATTAAGGCAGTGTGAAATTAAAGCATTAAACATATGACCTTTTCACATCACTGTGAAAGTTTAAGCATTTCAATTCTTGATATCTTTCACCAAAAATAATAATAATAATAACAGTAACAGAAAATAAGAAAGACAATAATAATTATAGACCAACACCAAAACCACCAGCCGCAGCAGCAACAACGATGACATAATAATAGTAATAGTAAAAATNAAAATAATAATAATAACAGTAACAGAAAATAAGAAAGACAATAATAATTATAGACCAACACTAAAACCACCAGCCGCAGCAGCAACAACGATGACATAATAATAGTAATAGTAAAAATAATTATAGTAATAGCAACAGTAATAACAATAAAATAAGATAAAATAAACTAATGACTAGCAATTTTGGCCTCATTTTTCTTGACAAAAGGTAAATAAACAAATAAAAAGATAAAATGTTGCAATATTTAGGAGGACAGAAGGAGCTAAGAGGCCTGGCACAACCTATTTATAATTTAGTAGCATGTCCTTGTTCGAGCAGTAGTCACTTGATAAGAAATAATGACCAAAAAGCAAGCTCTATTTCACATGCAAACTCTTTGAAGAGACAGTAGATGACAGAGTGAAGGGAAAGGTGTTAGACCATGTGTATGCCATTTAATTATCAATTTTCTCTATCATGCCACCAAAGAGCACAGATCACAGAGAATTATATATTAGCTCAGGTAACAAGAACAAGTCCCAAAAGAAAAGAATTAATATGGATACAAGACAAAAACTTTAGCAACTAATCTACTTAAGCACAACAATTTTTTTTGGTGAACAGATTTTAAGATGCGAATGTCTAGGGCATTTGTAAAAGTTTCTGCCTAGCCATAAGTTCTCAAAAAACATTGATTAATTACACTGATCAAAATCTGAACAAAGGCCACAGATTTAACAAGTAGAACTGCTCAATAGGAACAGTTCTATTTAACAAATGGGTGCATACAACAGTAAAATGGCATGCTTAATAAATGAAGTCAATAACACGAAAGGTTAAGCTTTGCAGTCTTTTCCTCCTGGCCACTGGCGGAGGCAGTCAATGACTACAGTGAGCTGTGAGCACATGCCCACCCTCAAACTTTTTTTCCCATAGCATTGCTTAGGTATATTTAAATAATTATTACACTCGGAACTCAATGACTATCAATTTTTGGGTACGCTTTCAACATGTCCGGATAAGTTTTTGAACATTTTGTACTTTGAAAAAAGAAGAATATAAATTCAGACTATTTTGGTACTGTACAAAAATTAGTGTCATTACACTTATAATTGTATATATATAGAAAGAAATTTTCAATGATATTGATAATGAAATTATCATGCGACGATTTTAAAATATGAAAATTAGTCAGTGTCAATTACAAATGGTTGTACTTGATCTTTTTTTTTTTGGTTTTTTTTGGCTTGTATACATTAAAAGTACTGATTTTTAGCCCTTTTGTGTTGAATGATTCATTCAAGTATCAAATATGATATGAATACATATGAATATATTATCTTACATTGTGGATATGTGAAAACTTAACCTAGTAAAGTACCCACCCAAGACCAATTTCCTCGCTCCACCCCAGCTCCCGTCGTCCTGAAATTTTTTCCTATGCAAATTGGAGGTTACAGAGAATCGAAACCCTGCAATTTCGTGGGGAACGAGCCTCTTGGGGGCTCATCCGAATTAGGCCCGAGGAGATCTATCAGCCTCTTGAAGAAAACACCAAATTGGGTAAGAAATGTGGTAAAAGTATCAGATCAATAACCGTGAGGGCGTGGATTCGAATCCAACGACAATCAATTGATCCAAATAATAACCATGTGTTAATTTTGGGTTCCTCATCAATTAAGAACGAACATCCTCACCAATTACAGAAGACCAAATTGGGTAAAAGAAAGACTAAAACACAGAATTATCTAAGACAGTTATATAGAACAGAATGGATTGATCACCTTCTGTTTGACAATAGGGCTTTTATGTTGGAGACGCTTCAAGATGAATTCGGAGATTTCTTTAACAATACTGCTATGTGAAGATCGAAGCAGTTCGCATATCTCCTCCAATTTGTAAACTGGAGTCACCTTGTCTTCGTCCGATGTCGCGCCATCAATCGCCCGTGACCTCCAATACGATTCCACCGCTCTCCTACTGGAATCCATCGATCGATCCAACAATTAAGATTTTACAAATATATATATACGAATATATACAGGATCTGCACCGATCGATTGATCCCACACGGCCGTACCCAGCTCGAGGATTAGTTTAGAATTGGTTTACTCTGATTCAGACATGCATCGAGTGTTGGTAAGAATTAGGGGTTTATGGAAAAATGAAAATTTTGGGAAATTGGAGGGGGAGAGAGAGAGAGAGAGAGAGAGAACGCGATTAAATGCGGGAGTTGTTCAAGTATGGACAGCTCTGGGGTCATGTGATCACACCTGGCGGCCAACTGTGGGGAATGAATGGCTTGCACACACACGTTGCACTTTATCACCTCTCCAACGTCATCGGATATTTTTAAATGGTGAATATTAGGAAAAATTTCAACCATCGCCTTTTTAATTTATCATATTTTTAAGAATATTTATTTTATTATCAAAAATATCACGGACATCTCTTTTCAGTTTATAATTAAAGATTATTGATATCCTCTGTCATTAAATTACTATTTATAACAAAAATAAATTATCTCAAATACTAAAATTATCCCTACATAAATCCCAAATAATCTTTTTATATAAATTTTGATTAAAATTCGAACTGATTAAATTTTTTTATGTATTCAAATTTGAGTCGATTGAAATTCGATTTGAGCTAACTAAATTTTATTTTTGATGTATTAAAATTTGAGCATATTAATTTTTTTTTTTACGTATTAAAATTTGAGCCAATTTAAGCTCTACTTAAGATGTTGGTGCGGATTAAAATTCGTTTCGAATAAATTAAATTTTATATTTTTTTATTTATTAAAATTTAATTAAAATTTAATTTTTGCGTTTTAAAATATAAGTCAATTAAAATTTATATATTTTTTATGTATAAAAAATCTGGTAGATTAAAATTTTAATGTGAATTGATTAAAATTTGATTTAAGTCTCAAATATAATTTTAATATATTCAAATTTTAATATGTAAAAAAAATATAATTTTTAATCAACTCAAATGTTAATACATAAAACATTAATCTTAATTAGCTCGAATATAATTTTAATTTACCCAAATTTTAATAAGTAAAAAAATTTAGAAAATAAGAGAGGTCTCATTGAAAATATGTCTACTTAGAAAGGGTGTGGATAAAACTTTTCCTAAAATATATCATAGACAATTTAATAAATAATTAATCCCTTTAATTTGACAGGGGTCAGTAAAGATTCAAAAAATAAAAGAGGCATCTTTAAAGATATGATAAACTAAAAAAAATGTGACTGAAATTTTACCTAAATATTATAATTAGCCCTTAAATTTTATTTTTAATTTTAAAATAGTCTGTAAACTTTTAATTATCATAATTTAGGCCCTAAATTATTAATTTTTTTATCAATAAAATATTTTCGTCCATTTAACTTATTAGAACCAATGATGTGATGTGCAAATGACAAATACATGAGATGACCTTTATTGGTTCTATCGAGTGATTAATTTAGTGATAAATTTAGATAATTAAAATTTTAAAAACTATTTTAAAATTAGAGTCAAAATTTAAGAAATAATTATAATATTTACTTTTTTAAAAATATTCAAGAATTATACTTCTCATTTCACATTGGCCCTTAGACTATTCAATGTTTTGCCGTCAAATTTTGAAAAAGCATTGACCAATAGGGTGACGTGAAATACGAATCAATATTTTAATGTATAATTAGGCTTGTCAACAGTTTAAATCAATATTTATAATAGAGATTTATATACATATATAAATTATAAATATATTTGATGATGCACAAATTAGTTTGCACACCACTAGTCAAGTAATAGTATAAAATGTAATAAAATAAATAAAAGAAAAGAGGAAACAAGGTTTATAGTGGTTCGGTCAACAAAACCTACGTCCACTTTTGATGGCTAGGTTCGCCGAGAACTTTACTAACTCAGTGGTGTAGGGAGAGCAATGATTACAAGAGAGAGAGGAGATGAGCTTGACTCTTTTTCAGATGCCCCTCAAGTGTTGGGGGAGCTTACAATTTATAGTTCCGTACGTAATAATTGGATAGCTAGTCTGACGGTTATAATTGGAGCCGTTTAATAATAATTGAATCTCTTGGCGACTTCTCCTCTCCTTGGCGACCTTTCATCTCCTCAATCGGCAAGAAAATTATGATGCACTTCAAAAGACTTGGTCAAGGTATGTGGAAAGGTTGACTATCTCCAGGCCGTGTGGGATAGGTTCCAAGATGTTCCCTTGGTGGTGCAACTCCCTAATGAGCTTGTCTGACTTGGACCTCGTTTGGGTTGGACTTTGCTAGATCTCTTGGGATTGGATCATTAATTTAAGTCGGGCTTATAATATGGGTTAGGCCCTTGGACCTGGCCCATTATTTGCCCCCCAATGCCCTGCGTTTAAGGAACTTAGAAAGGAGGGCGTTCAGTTTGACATATTATGGGCCCCATTTGGAGTAACGGTCAAAATAGCGTACACACCTTTTTTAAATTTTCTAAAAACTTCTCTTTGTTGGCGACCCCATCACTTCCAGTAAACTCATTTTGCTTATAGGACCCCCTTAACTATATAAGCTCCATCCTTTATTTTTTTTTTGTTGCTACAAGAAGATTTTAAAATCCAAGTGTCAGACTATGTGTGCCTTGTATTTGCTGTATGCACAATGGCAAGGAGGTAGATGTTGGAGCGGAGTGGAGCCCGCCATGGCATCTGCCTTGCGGGGATGCTGATTAGTTGGGAGTGCAGGGGCAACACCCTTGTGGTATGGTACATGGGTATTTTTGCAAATACTTAAGATGTAACCCAAGAAAACCCTAGCTATAAATAGAGAACCTCTTTTTCATCCTTACTATTTCATTCATTCTTGAGAGAAGTGGAGGTGGAGCTCTTCTTAAAACCTTCCAAGAACATATTGGTGTGACTTTTCTTGTGATCTTTGTAGACCTAAGGCTTGTTATTCTTGAGTTTCTGAGTTACCAATGTCAACTGTAGAGGAAGAGATTCAAGCTTCCATTGATGTGGGGGTCCTAGGCTCCCCTTTTGGGGCTGATTTTGCTGGTTTCGGCGAGCAAGGAGATGGGCGAGCAAGGGAGAGCAGTCCGCTAGGCGAGTAGCCTGGGTGCTCTAGCCTAATGGGTGAGCAACCTAAGCGCTCCAACCCGTTGGGCGAGCAGATCAAGGAGATGAGAGCTGTGCAGGCGCCTATAGGCGCTAATTTGGACAACTTGGGCGAGTTGCCTGGGCGTGCGAACAGCCTGGGGAAGCTGCCTAGGCATACGAACAACAAGATTGATGTCTCTGTTGTGTGGGACCAGCTGGGCGAGCCACTCCAATCGGGCGAGCAGGCTGTCCTGGATAAGTAGGCTATCTTGGGTAGAGTCTTGGGCATTGAGGCGCCTAGGATGGACACCGATAATGATGCAAGCGCGCGAGGCAACCCATTAGGTGGGCAAAAAAATGCTCCTTTGGACTTGAGAAGTTTTGGAGAGGAAGTAGCTTTGGGCGAGCAAGAGGCTGAAAAGCAGCGTGCAATGAACACTTTTGGTGGTGGGAGTCCAGCTCCTCTAAATGTAACTTCTCAAAATCGAATTCCTCGAGACCTTTCTGGCAGCGGCTTGGGCAGAGCTTTACACCCTCGCGCCAAGAAACATCGAGGCAAGGCAACCCTCGATGACGATGGGTCCAAAGTAAGTACTATCTCCAGCACTTTAAATACGGACGTCGATATTTTGCGAGTTGTCTCCGCCTACCACATCCCTCCGACTGTGTTGTGTCGTTGAGCCGAGATGGGTGAGCCTGCCTCTGACGACTCCTCTGGTGACATTGCCATCTATGAGGAGATGTTGGAGGCTGAGTTTAGGTTCCCCATGTCTCATTCTATATGTAGCATTCTCGGGTACTTTTCCCTTACCCCTGAGGCGATTGTCACCCAATGGATGGAGGGTTTTGCTATGCTTTTTGGTGCTGTGGAGGAAAGTGCATCATGAGGATGCTTCTTCGGAGGAGTTTCATGGAGCTTATACCTTGAGTGAGACCCCTGGTCCCAATTGGGGTTGGTATTACTTTACCACGAAAGACAAACTGCTCATCGGATTACGATCCAACTGTCATAGTTGGAAATCTCACTTTTTATTTATTGGTGGAGAGTGGGCTGCAGAGGCGGATAGGACTTTGATACCGAGTGGATGGAGTGTCCCTAAAAAACTTGGTATGCCACACATTTACTTTCTCTCTTTTATCTTCCTTTTTTTTTTTCATCATTCCTCTTGCAGATCCCCCTATGTTCTCCCCAGGCCAAGAGTGGAAGCTGGAGGCGGTGAGAGCTTATGCTGAAAAAGACTTTGGAGTCCTTATGTCCAAAGATGGTGTTGCTACCCGAAGTCCAGTGGTTCTTCTTTGAAGAGGAAAAGTGAGTTAGTTCCTTTGCAGCTTTCTCTTTTACTTGGTGTTTTCCATCTAGGTAACACTTTATTTGCTTTGTAGCTATAAACAGGGAGAAGCTTGGGTCTCGCCTCTCTGATAGGAGTTCTCCTCCTTCTAAGGTGGCGAAGAAGACTTCCAAGTTGATGACGCGCGGCACCTCCCAAGTGACCTTGCCCGAGGCGTGCTCTTCTCAACCACCTCCTTAAGTGGCACCTCGGGCACCTTCCCATAAAGTGGCTTCTCCAGAGGTGCCTTCTTAGGCGAAGATTCCCTCAATTGGACCTTCCACTATAGAGTCTCATTTGTTGGCCACACTTTTTGCCCCCCGTTCAGCCACCCCTCCTATGGGGAACCCTGACGGAGTACCTTCTCAGATCTGCTCCATGTTAGGTAATGCACTAGTCATCAAGGATCGGCTTGGGTTGTTTTTGTGCAAGAAGGATGTGGATGAGATTGGAGCCTTGGGTACGGAGGGAATTCTTAGCTTTTTCCTAGAACGCTGGGCTCAGATATGAGTTTATTTTCTCTCATTTCTCCCTTCCATAAGTGTCTGACCTTCTTTTGCCTTCTGTTTTTCTCCAGGCTTCATCAGCATCTATGTGTTTACTTTCAAGGA